GAGAACGCTAACCTCGTAGCAGTCTCAACACATTGATTATTTTGTTCAAGTGGATACTAGTGGAAAACAAATCGTTATTGTTTGTGAACTGAGTTCTCAGCTTGAAAGAGTTCAAGAACGAAACAAGTGATTTAAAAACATATGAATCCACAAATAAAAGTACGAGCTTTCACTTTTTTTGTATGATTACATATTTTTGCATGGATCTGCATTGAAGTCCTTTATTCTGTTTCGTCGCTATGTTTTAAATTGCACATGACCTAACAACGAATATGTGCATGGATGGACCTATTACAGGGCATACAGTGGCACATGCCACCATATTATTCCTCCGTCGAAGGATAAAAAAATTTAGGTTCGTGAAAGGTGCAACCGTATTAATTTGTTATATGCCACCATATGTATTTTGAAACTACAATGAGAACAAAATTTATTTGGTAGAGTTGGTTTGCAAGATTTTTATTCCACCACAAACCCAAGTTCGAATTCTGTTAGTGTCATTTTCTTAGTCAAAAGGGGCCACCATTTAAAAAAAATCGTATATTTGTTTCTTATAGTCAAACGGTGCCACCGTTTGAAAAAATTTCCCTATTTTTTTTTTCTTATAGTCAAATGGTGCCACCATTTGAAAAAATTTATGGGCCCGTCCCTAAATATGTGCACAGGTGATTGTCGTTGTTTTAAGAAATCATATATTCTTGCAATAACAAGACTTAATTAGAGGACCGAATAGAATAAACTATTATAGTTTGGGTGTTCAAAAATAAATAATTAGAAGTAAAGAGGGATAAAAGTGTAATTTCACCAATATTTTTTATCAACCTGGATGTCCAACCCGCTATGCGAGCCGACTAATCACAAAGCGACCACCTACTTTACAGATAGTTCGGAATCACCGCATTTGAACCTCCGTGGCCACAAGGAGATTTTTATTCCTCCTTGGATTTTTATTCACCAATAATTATGTGTCACTTGGTGTGGTCGACTTGGATACATAATTAGGACAAAAATAGTAGCCATGGGTCAACGGTTTTTTAGTCGACATGGGTTTTTTGCTCTATTTAATTAATTCATTTAATGTGTTTAATTATGTTTAAAAATTCAACATATGAACAGAAATATGATATAATACATATGAAAATACTGTGTTTCATACAACAGTGTGTCATAAGTGAAATATTCATGAATCATGATTGTTTTGTGTGTGGAAAACAATAGTATTGAATGTTTCACATATGACATAATACTGTACTTTCACAGTTGTTTCATATATGAAAAACATATAAAAATGTGGTGACTCTAGGATACCTGCGAAGCTGGTGGTTGTCTTGGGATTAGTCGGTGCACATAGCGGGTTGGATATCCAGGTTAATAAAAAAAAATTGTTACCAAAGTATTTTTAAGATGTTACAAATTGTATTTCATTATGTCTTTTCGTAATAAATTTTTGTGACATTTAGCGTATTTGGGATATATAACGTTTCACTCAGTACTCGGATCGATACAGTTTTGTTGGTTTTAAAGTTATCGTATTTTTACTCAAAAAGAAGTCGAATAGATTGTTCTTGAAAAAGAAGAGACGAGAAAAAGAAAATATAAAAGTTAGATACAGTATGAACTTAATAGAGACTAAAAGGGTACTCGCACAATACAACAAGAGATATCTCGATTTTAATGTTTCATTTTATTTTTTTTGGAATCTGTCGATGTTATAATACGGATTTATGTGGTTTTGAACAAACAATAACGTTTTTTTCTTAATAAAATATAAATTTGAAGATGTTATAAAAATTTTAAAAAAAAATACAAAAGTTTTCATTTTCTTGTGTAATTTTTTAATTTAATTTTGGTTTAATGACGAAATAATTTATTTTTGCTTTAATAATATAATTTTTATAAAGATAATAACTAAGTATCATGTTAGAACTCAATAATTATCTTAATTATATTTTATATTTAAAATAAGAATTTTATCTTGTATTTGATTATACTTATCTACGGTTAGTTACACGAATTCAAACATAGAGCTTAATAAGTTGTACTTACGCACAATTTACGTGTAATGTTAAATTTTAAGTAATATGCATCAATAAGCAGTACTTCATGTGTAAAAGATGGTTTTTAAGAGTTTTTGTCAAATGCTTTATAATATAGTATAGATAATAAGAAAAAAAGAATGCAAACAAATAAAAAAAAATGACTATTCTAAATTAAAAAAAAAAATACAAGATTTTTAACACAATGCAACATTAGAAAAGAGCCATTTTTATTAAATATTTATCAGGTAAAGGCTTACAGGTAAAAATTCATTATTTTTCAGTTACTTTGTCGAGTAACAGTCTCATTTATCAAAACGAACTGTTTGTAAGTGTCTTATATTCAGTAAATGTTATCACTTATCAGATGAAATTCTCAGTTGTTATCATGTATTTTATCAGTTATGATTCTAAATCGTTATCATAAACGATCCCTAATTTATTATTAAAATATTATTTCCAATAAAAATTATTACCAAACAACATTTTATATTAAATATGATTCCAAATTGGACAGAAAATCTAACTTCTAACATATTTTAATTATAAAATTGTTGACAAATTTGAGGGTTCCCACTGAAGTTTACCAAATTTTCGATTTTAAAAGTATTGTCGATAAGATAATATAATTTATGATAAATATTAAATTTCAAGATAACCTATTTTATATTATGAAATATTTGATAAAAACTTTTAAAAATTAGTTTTTATACATGAAATATTGTTTATTGATGCATATTATTTAAAATTCAAGATTCCAAGAAAATAATGTATAAGTACAACTTATTAAAGCTTCATATTTGAATTCATGTAAATAACTGTAGATAAACATAATAAAATACAAGATAAAATTTTTATTTTTAATATAAAAAATCTAAAACATAATTTGGAAAATCATTATGTTCTAACAGAATACTTAATTTTTTTATCTTTATAAAAAAATATATTATTAAATCAAAAATAAATTACTTTGTTATTAAAGCTAAATTAAATTATAATAAAAAAATTGAATTAAAGAAATTATATAACAAAAGAATAACTTTTAAATAGTTAATTTGATACTATATCAATATTTATTTTTAAAATTTTATGATATTTTCAAATTTATATTTTATTTAAAAATAAAAACATTATTGTTTTTTTTCAAAACCACATAAAACCGTATTATAACATTAACATGGGAAATAATTTCGAAACTGTAGATACGAAAAGTGTTATTTTCGACAAACCACATAAACCAAATTTGTTGTTCTCTATCTATACTATCTTATAAAACTCTTAAAAACTCTTAAAACTCTCAAAAACTCTTAGACCCTTCTCATATCTGAATTCGTGTAACTAACTGCAGATAAACACAATCAAATACAGGATAAACATCTCATTTTAAATATAAAAAATCTAAAATA